TTTAGGTCCTACCAGAGCTACGAGCCACTGTTAGCTAAAGAAGCTATACAGGCTATATATAGCTACCGTAGGGCCTTAAAAGAGAGGCCCCTCCATGGGCTAGCTAGCCTATATAACCTATTGAGAGCCCCTAAAGCTAAGTTTAGGCGTTTTTTGACGTGGGGTTTAAAGGATAGCTTAGGATTAAACCAGACCCCTAGCTAGCTAATAGAACCTAGCGCGAGTTTAACTAAGTGCCCTCTATATTAACCGGAGCGTCTTCTTTAGAGCGTCTTTGATAGAAGTGAATAAGCTCTGTTTTTCGGTGGTCGAAAAGGACTTAGTTAACTTTCACTACGTCAAAAAAGAAGGCTACGGCTTTTTCTAGGGTTTTATAGTTGTTCCTAGTTAATGTAGACGCTATAAATAGCTAAAAGTCGTTAATATAGAATAGCTAAAGCCCCTTAAAATCCGGTCCCGCTATAACCTTCCTAATATAAATTAGGAATAGGATAGGGAAACCGGAGAACCTTATAGAACCCCTATATTTAGGGGGGTGGGCTGCTAAACCTACCCCTCGAAGGCTAGTTAGATACGCCTATTTCCTGTAAAAGAGGCTACCTATTTAACTAGGTTCGGGGGTAGTTAGAGGTCTTAAAGGGTCCTAAGTAGCTAGGGACTGGCGACGTGATCGAAGGCTCCTTTAATATCTAAAAATAGCATAGAGATTATAGGAATTTAGCGTGATTTACGCTATTTTTCGATATAGTAGAGGAGGAGAAGGGCTATATCGATAGCAGAGCGTTATTTTCGACGCCCTATTTCACTAGGGTGTAGAAGGTTATCGCGGGTATTAGCTATAAAGCTAAGTCTAGTAGCTATTTCAGTTTCGAGTACTTTACCTAGGCAGTTAAGAAGGGCTATAATCCTATAAGACTTAGGATCTGAATAGTCCTTCTTCCTTGACTTTAGTAGAATAACCCCGAGGGCTTCTTTCTAGCAGGTAGGGTAATACCCTGCGGAAAAGAGTGCTAAGTAGGCCTGTAAAAAGGACCCGGGAATAGCCTTATAGGCCTATTAGATAGGTTTCAAACCTATCCTATCAGGTCCAGGGGCTTTCCCTTTAGCGGCTCTGAAAATCGCGCGTTATAGCCTTATAGCCTATAGGCTAGGCCACTCCCACGGTCTTCTAAGGCCCTTATTACGTGATCTAGTCAGGCTCTAGGGACTTTAAGAAGAGTGGGAGGGGCCTAGGCCCCCCGAAGGGCCTATAAATACAGGCGCTTTAGGGGCGTTAGTGGCGGAGGGTGCTAGAAAAGGGTCTAAAGTAGGGCGTTGTATTTATCTTCGAAGGTATAGGCCTTTTACTTCGTAGGCGTTTAAATCGGTGGGACTTTCGCGTTAAGGCCGCTTTTCGTATAGTTATAGGCCTTAAAAAGTGGTATAGGGCGCAAACCACGATTCCTGCAGTCTAGTTATATTGCTTTTGTTTTTTACCTATTAGGTTTTATTAGGCAGATTATTACGGAGGATTTCCTTTGTGTAGTACGCTCTATTTTACTGTACCTAGCTTCGTATAGCCTCTAGCCCTTAGGGCGATAGGCGCCGCGCCATAGCTTTAGGGCTGCATGCGCGTAATGAATTAAAAAAAAAAAAAAAAGCCTTAAAAGTCTCGGGGCCTTCGGTGTAGGCTAGGAAGGCGTCCTAGTGGTCGTTTTTTACGGGTTTTACCGTCCTATAGTAAGCATTTCGTGTTTCTTTCAAGGAGGTTTCCAAAGACGCTAGCTGGGTAGCCGAGGCCCCCTTTTTAGACGTCTTTCTAAATACCCTAAAAGCCCTACTAGCTGTTTTTCGCAGGGCTTTTAGCTCTTTAGTCCACCACGGCTTCGAAGGCTTTACTACCCGTAACTTAGGCACTAAAGCCTTAAGCGCTAGGGTAATAGTATCCGAAAGGCAACGGCCTAAAGAATCCTAGTCCGAGGCGTTAATAGCCCATTAAAGGTACAGGTTAAGGCTAGGTTCTAGGCTTTTTAGGGTACTAGAAAATAGGTCCTAATCTACTAGCTTATAGTTATAAGCCAGCGGGAGGGACTTATTTATAGGACCTTTAAAGCCTAAAATAGTAGCCGAAAGGAGGATACCGCGGTGTAAAGAGGTAGTATTTTCGATATACTCCTACTTATTAAAGCGGAGATAATCGAAGCCGGGCGTGTAAAAGGCTAGGTCTATAACCGACTCTTAGCGAAGATTAGACCTAAAAAAGGTCCCCCCGTTTAGGTCATCTTCTTCAGAGTCCACTAAATAGGCAGCTCCGAGGCTATCTAACTAGTGTACTAGGGCCTAGGCCTGAATAGACGCCTGGTTAGTAGCGGCTCTGTTCTACTACTAGTGGTTTCTATTAAAGTCCCCTATAATAAGGGTAGGCTTAGGGACCTATAGGCCCTATAGTACTTGATCCTCGGTTAGGGCCGGCTTTCAGGGCCTAAAAAGGAGGGAAAAGAAGAAGAAGAAGTGGAAGAGGTAGAAGGGGTAGGGCTAGGGGGCCGCCCTTAGCCTATCGTTTCGGGGTCCTATTCTATCTGGTTATAGACGTGTAGAACATAAAAGGTCTATAGATAATAAACCTCTATAATCTACGTGTCTATATCGTCTAGAAGGTCGTCGCGGTATAAAAAATCGATACTAAAGCCCTTTTTTATATAAGAAAGGACCTTAGGCTTAATAAAAAAGGAACTGGGTTTTCTAGGATATAGGCGTAGTAGTGTAAAAGGCAGGGTGGTTTCGGATAAACCACCCCTCTAGTGTCGAGACGTAGGCAGGTTCCTGAATAAGGACTATATTAGCCGAAGCCTTTAAAGCCTATTCTAGGATAGCCTCCTATACCGGGGCCTGTTTATCGACGTTATATTAAATAAACCGGATATCTTTCGAACTATAAGGCCCTATATTTATAGAATTTAGGGTTTTATAGCTTAAAAGACCTCGTAGTCTTTAGTAAAGGAGGGGTGATCTCCTTCGTAGTTACAGCACTTATAGGTCTTATACTTCTAATCTCGGTATTCTTTATACTCGTTATAGTAGTGGTATTCTTCCCTTTAGCCTTTAACGGCGCAGATAGGGCAGGTAACTAGGCCTTTACAGGTCCCTCGAGTATACCCGAATTTCTAGCAGTTAGAGTACTAGGTCCTAGGGGTTATAGGTCTATATTTATAGACCTTTAGCCGCTGGCGGGCTATATAGAGCCCCTGTTTTAGACAGTACTTCTATTCTTTACTAGTAGGTATAGAAATAACTACCGTGCCGTAAAACGCGTTCGGAGCCCCTAGCCATCAAGGCTTCCCTACTACCCTAATAGGGTTAAATATGCCGATTTTAGTGGCTAGGTCCTATAGGCCTAGGCCCTGTTATAGTGTTATAGGCTTTAGTTTAGGGCCTTTTACGGCGGCTCGGAGGGGTCAGGGGTCGGGGTATCATCTCCCCTAGCCCTAAAGGCTCTAAAAGGCACCTATTTAATAATAAGCTTAAACTAATCGCCTATAGGCTAGAGGGGCTAGAGGGGGAGGTTTAGCTCTTTAAGCCACTCGTTCTACGAGTCTAGGAGCTATTAAACGCTATATTTCGGCTCCGGGGTTAAAAGAAGGTTCCTGTTAGTTAATAGACTAATAGCCGTAACTATAGGGGTTTTTAAGGCCTTATTTAGTCTATTTCGGAGCTCGAGGGGATTAAAGTCTTCCTGGGGAATCCGGGCCCCTGCCGTAGGTTAAAGGATAACCTTAGGGACCGTTTTAGAGTCTATTAGGAGGGGTGCTAGGGGGGTCTAGGCCTATAGTACTAGGGCCCCTAAAATGGGGGCCTAAGGTGCTATAGGGCCTGTTTTCCCGTTTAAAGCCTCGCTATACAGGGGTTTAGGCTGTTCTGTAAGCCTCCGAACTACCTAAGCTAGTTCGTCGACCTTCTATTCGAGTATAGGAGGCTAGGGGCTCGGGGTTCCGTCAATAGTAGATTTAAGGCGTACGATTAGAGCCTTAATCTAAGGGTCAGGGTCGAGGGTATAGGCCTGTTAAAGCAGCTAAAGATCCTATTAGAGTAGTCCCTTAGCCTATGCCTTACTAGCCGAACTAGTCGACTTCTAGGGCTTAGCCGAGGTTTCTCCAGGGGCTTTAGCTGTTCTAGGTGCCCTTTTAGCCTATTTAGAGCCTAAAAGGGTCGGTTTTTCAGCAGGGGGGGGCCCTAAAGGGCGTTTCGAAAGCGCCTTCGGCTTCCGAGTCCAAGGGGGATTCGATTCGGGTCATAGAAAAACGTCTGGGGTTAGTGTAGAAGGGCTAAGGTGCCTTTTCGAATTTAGAGGCGTAGCGAGGGTTAAATCCTCTGTATTAGAGGTATTACCTATATCAACCTCCCCTAGGCCCTCTATAGTTATAGGGGCCGTAGGGGCCTTAGGGGCGTTAGGGACGTTCGAAGGGTTAGGGGCGTTATTATAGCTAGCGTTATGGCTAGTAGGTTATTATTTATTGCGTTATAGTTAGGTGGAGGTCGGGGGTGCGGCTCTGCGCGGCTAGCCCTGCTGCTTTGTCAGCGTGGGCGCACGGGCCACGTCAGACTTTTCCCCCGCACACAGGGGAACCGTAGGCCTATTTCCAGGCATTTTCGCACTTATAATACGCCTAAACTAGCGCCTACGCAATACAGGGCTATAAATAGGCGTATAGAACTTGAAAAGAGCTATCGATTGATATAGGTTTTAAGTGGTTTAGAGCGTTTGCGCGTAAAATGTAGGTCCCCCACGTAAGTTATAGTCGCTTTTTGAAAGGATATCACCTTTAGACCTATAGTTAATAGAACTGGCAAAAACCATTACGACTAAGAGTATAGTTAATAGACCCAATAAAAACCGTTATACGAAAAGAGTCTACGAAAGTAACTAGTCTACACTACCTCCTATATATAACGATTACCCGTGTAAGACTCCTATATAGGTCTCCCTACCGTAGAAACGCTGCTATTATTAAAATAGAGCTAGGAGGGAAGACTAGAGTCGTTTTTTAGTTTTGATTGGAATAGTAAGCAGGTAAGTAGATAGATATTTCCTCGGAGTACTTTTAGAACTCTCTAAGGAACAAGAACAATAAGTTTTGTACCGATATTCTTGTTCTGACAACAATTAATTTGGAACCTCTCAATCTGACCGTCTTATCGTATGTATCCTTTTACGGTTACGCTGTATTCGACACGGACTGGGTCTCGCGAAGAGCCAACCATACCACCCGGGAAACGTCTTCGCCATGGCACGGAATCGTCGCTTCGTAATGAGAGATTTAAACACGAAGTTCTAACTCCCAGTCTTCGCGGGAGAGCCCTCGGTCTCCCCCAACACCTCCGCCGGCACCTCCTTTCCCACATCCTCTACGTTGCCCCCCACGGGCTCCCCAGTAAAAGACTCACGAGTTGCAGAGTCGCTTGATTCTTCGGGGGCTTCCGCGAGGTTTTGAGGTTCGATTTCCAGAGCGCCATGGTTAGTGTCCTCCTTCTCTTGGTCTTCCAAGGAGAACAGATCCGACAGGTTAATGGCAAGGAAGGTCTTGGGTAATTTGACCCTTGAAGACCAGTTAGTCTCAGGTCGTCATTGCACCTCAGTACCATCGCAAAGCAGGAGTAGACGAAGGGGTTCACATACTGGTTGAATTTCGCCCTCAAAGTGCGGATGACCTCCATCCAATCGGCATGGAGTGTCAGACTCCGTCGAGGCGCGCAGCTAATGCAATGCTTGCTGTCGAGTTGAACGTCCAATGGATCGAAGACATGGCATCCAGGGCTGATTGTGATCCTGATACTGTACGCGAAGGTCGGCTCCTCCTCGCCTTCAGCCGCGTGGGCGGACGTCTTAGTCTCGGATTCGTAGAGTTCAAAACAAATCTGAGAGAGATAGTCCAATTCTGGAATGGTGCTCCGCTTGATCTTCGTCTCGATTCCTCCTTCGAAGATACAATTCAGCAGCGTGTATATATGCGACTCCTTGGTGAAATAGAAGAACGATTTGGCGTCGTTGGACGCCTGCATCTCTTCAAGATTCTGAACAATCTCTTTGAGAAGGGGCAGTGACGTCAGGAGACCGATCTCCAGCTTCTCGCTGTCCGAGATGCCATACTCTTGCGGGCAAATGAAGTCGAAAAGTACCTTAGCGAGCTGGTACAGCTCCCTGAGAGGCTCAAAACGGGCATCTGTTTTCGCCTTGGTTTTCGCGTTGCCCGTATATAAGTGGAAGTACTGCTCCGGAGGCGCGCCTTCGCTCCCGTGCCGCAAGCCGTTGAGGAACGACCGGCGTCGGAAGAGCCGTCTGACTGAGCTCGGACCCCTGCTGTTGGCGTCTGCGGACCTGTCAGGCCTATCACCCTCTCGTCGGTCGTCCCTTGACTCCTGGGACGACTTCCCCTCCTCCGCGTCTTTGGTCACCGGTTTCCCGTCTTTGCCTTCTTTGGCAGAGCCGCCGTTTCCCTCCTTGTTCTCCTTCTCTCTCACGCCGTATTCTTCCTCGAGCATGTGCCGTGGCGGAGTGAAGACCCACTCGAGAAACTGGCGATTATGCAGCGCATCGAACTTCATCGTGTCGTAGAGCTCGGAGATCTTGCTGGGATCGACCTTTTCACCGTCACAGAACTCTTGGAAGAGTTTCCCCCACCGCTCACGGAAGAGTTCGGCATCTTCCCCACAGCACCATCGAGATTGGATGCTGTTGATGCCGCTTGCCTGTGAAAGAGCCGACGAGAGAGAGCTGTGGGAGGCTTCACAGCTTTGCGACTTGTCCAAACTCAAGCTCGACGCATTGTGTGGGGAGCTGGCACCTCCGTTGTAGAGTTTCTTATAATTGTGCTGCATCACCCGTCGATGAAACTTCATCAGCTGGACCACTCGCGTCTGGACTTCGGATGGCTCGGGCATCTTGTCGGGCCAGGCAAACTGCGGGGGTCGCTCGTTGCCCTTCCGCAAAAGGCCCTTGAGTTTCTTCTTCACCTTGTCCATTTCGTCTTTGGCCGCATTCGAGTCATCGAGCAAATCCTTGCGGATCGTGATGAAGTCGTCGGGCAGGTCATTCTGGCGAAGGAAAGAGGACGCCCAGATCTGAGCGCTCGTCGAAACCCTTCGCTCCGAGCTGCTGAAAACGTGAACCTCGTCTAGGATGTCGCGATTGAGGAGTTGAAAGTCATTCCGCATATTCTCGCCAAGTTCCTGGGATTGGTAGCGGGCAGAGTGCGTCGGCTCCCCGCCCCATTTAACAATGAGCTGGAGCTTATCCAGCACTAAACTCTCTTCGACAGCCGTTATTCGGGACATGGTCACTCCCGAGAGAGAGTCCTGACGATGCGACCCGCGGGACTTGTCATCCGATGCCAATGATCTGTCCGCTCTCTTGCCCCGCAATCCCGTCTTTATATCATCGTCGCCAACCTGGGCAGTCGTCCCCTCGGCAGAAATCTGCTCATCTGACTTTCTCTTTCGAAACATAGGCTTAATCTGTACCTTGGTGCCAGCCCAGCCTCCCTTCTTGACGAGAACGTTGCGTAGGGCAGCGAGTTTTGTGGGATCCTCGATGCCCGCAACCAGGGCGACATCAACGGCTTGGATGACACTAGCTAGCGCCGCCTCTCCAATCAGTAGAACCTCATCCTGATGCCCCTTAAGCAGCTCAATAAAGGGGTCGGTGTGGAATGTGAACTTGTACTTTTGTTTTGGGGTGCGATCTGCATGCCGAATGACCGATACGATGCCCTTGAGTTTCCAGGAGTGCTTGGGGAGTGGTGGCGCAGGAACATTGTCTTGTTCCGAGATGGTTTCCCCTTTTAACGACGCCGCGGCGGATGGGGTGGCAGACGGCGCCGTGGACGAGGCACTGGTTTTCCCGCCATCTCGCAGAGGGGGTGGAGGGGGTAAGGATGGGTTTGTCGTCATGCCCTGTACAGCAGATGTGGCAGAGCTGTCGGACCTGGGTGCCAAGGTGCCCAGCTGCCACCTATGCTCGTCCAATTTCGACTCTTGCTGTCCCCTTTCGCCGCCTGTTTTGGCTGATGTACTGCTCGTAGATTTGGCGACGGATGGGGGCAAGGTGGCCATCTGGCCCTGGTCCCTCTCCTTACCTCCCCTCGCAGCTGGGGGGTCCGCCACATCTGAAACCGAAGGAGACGACGTCGGCGATGTGACACCTCCTCTCCGAAGCCGCTCTTTGACGAACAGTTCCTTGAGGATGTTCGCACAATGGTCGTAGTAGTCGTCGTTGTCCTTGACAAAGCTCCACCCGTTTACGTCGATAACATAGCTCTTGCCATCCGCACGCAGAAAGTCGAACCCGCATACCCGTTGGCCAAAGGAGAGGGCAATCTTGCTCGCAATCTCCCTTTCTTCAACATTTAACCCGGTAACGTATCGGACCTCTTTTCCGCGCGTGTTCCGCCGAACCACGCCGTCGACAACAGGAGACTTCCGTGTTTCGGCGTGGCAATAGTTCGCGCCAACAGTGTAGGCCTTGACATCTTCGGCGTTGTCGACGCGCATGAACTTCTCGTATATATAGCTGCTCTGCGGTTCAAGAATGGCGCGGGGAGTATTTAAACCAGGATCATACTCTGAGCTCTTGTTCCCAATTTTTCGAAACAGCTTTCGGCCACCACCTCCCGAGGACTTGGGAAAGTAGATGATGATGTTGTGGTCTTCGCCACTCACAGGCTTTTCGACGAAGGGCTTCTTAAGGAGCGCGCCATCAACGCTTAGAATATCCCCGTCATCGAGCAATTCGACCCGGCGGGGTGCAGTGGTATAGCGAGGGTCCTCAGCATCATAATTCACCCCTGATACTTCCTTCATGTGCCGAGACATGTCTGGGGTGATCACCTTGGGACCGCCATCCCGGTTAACCTCGAGCCTTTTCGGTGTGGGGACACCAATGCTGTCGAGGATGTACAGGCAGAGGCGACGGTCCCATAGAATCTTCTGCATAGGCAAGTCGTTGACACAGAAAGGCTTCCGGGCTTTGGCATACGCGATAGCCTTGTCAAGCGGGAAGCCATCCGAGTAGAACGAAATGAGATAGTCACTGTCGGCAAAGTCAGTTGAAGCCAGGAAGCAAAATGATGTAGGTCAGGGCCGTGAGTTCGTGTAGGGGGGTTCGCGGGAAAATGATGGATGGAGAGGGAGTTGGCAGAAAGAAAAGACTCGCACGTACCATATGGGCCAGTTTTCAATATCTATAAAATAGACGTGATCCCCAGTTAGCAGGTTTATATAGTACGCGGGCGATGAGAAGGCTTCAGACAACATGAACCTCACCTTCGTCGAGAATTACTTTGTCCCCAAATACGACAACATCAAATTCGCGGTTGGCGATCAGCCGATTCAGGATGTTTCTGCTTGGCTTGCTCCTCGCTTTAATATCTAAGGCGCAAATTCCAATCACGCCCCAAGGAGCCGGCTTGGCTGCAAAGCATATTAGAAGCTGTATGAACTTCCTTGAGAACCAGCAGCAAAAGTATGTGATACTTACCTTCTTCCCTTTCCTTCTGATGCGCTGTTCGTTCACTGCTGGGGCTGTGACTGCTGGCGGCAGTGCTTCCGCTAAACCTCCTTTTGGCGCGGCTTCTTGACCTCGTCGGCTGTCCTCGAATATTTTGGTCTCCCCGTGACGGACCAGCGGTGCGTTTGGCCGCGTCGACATTGGGGTCACGCGGAGTGAGGTGTTGTCCTCCTGGGGATACTTGTTGATGACCCTGTTGGCCGCCAGAGGAGGGGATTCCAGTGGCATTGAGGGGCTCTGAAGTTCCCTGGGTTGGCTTACCAGTTGTGACGACGCCACTATGTATGCTCCGGGGGGCAGTACTTGTCTCTGAGCCTGTGATGGACGCGGCAGAACTAGGAACGATGCCGCGAGCGGACGCCAGCGAGTAGACAGACGAGGCCGAGATGCGTTTGAGATCGGCCTCGGAGAACGATGATCTCGTGGCTAAGGTCGGCTCAAGGGATGGTTGACGGGTGTCGAGCTCCGAGGTGGATGTGGTGGGGTTAGAGGTGACGTCGGCTACGACACTGTGCAACAGTCGCGGAGTACCGGGTCCATCGCCACCATCTTCTCGCGTCTCACATGGAACAGCGGGCTCTCCTAAGGGCACGACAGAATTTATGGATCCTTGACGACTTCGGGCAGGAGACGAACGCGCGCTGATTGAAGGGCCGGGCGACACGGCCGTTGGTGGGGTTGAGGGTGACATGAATGCGTGAGATCGGTCTGAGCGTACACCGGAGATACTTGGGTCGGTACGCTGACCGTTGCTCGAGGCGGAAGATGATGTCGGCGGAATGTGATGGTGAGTTTGCACGTCTGAACCGGATAGCCGGTTGCCCGATTGAGAAGAGAGGTCCAATCCTGATGCTGAGTTGGAGGATGCCGATGTAGAACCGGCAGTTCCGAGACCTGGACTCTGTGACAAGCTGTGACTATGGCTGTTTTCGAGAGATGGAGGATCCATTTCATCCACTCCGTTCAAGTCTGACTGATACGAAGAGGGATGTACAGAGAACAGTTCAGGTAAACTGGTTCGTCTTGGAGCGGTCAGACCAACGGGTGGGAAAAGGCAACTGCGCCGGAACCGGAGATCGTTAGCTGGCGTGGTTGGCTAGCATAGTTGTCCAACAAACCAAGACTCTAATTAATGCACGGTGATTGATCAGATAAAGGGGCCAAAAGACGAACCAAGTCCGAAATCTGAGAGATCAGGAAAGTGGATTTGGGTTCCAAGTTATTATTATAAACAGTCCCGCCAGTGCGTCACAACTACAGTTGGTTTGCAGAGCCAACCAAGACTATGCATCCACAAGGCTATGCCAACAACGAGATGTCCACCACCGAACCGAGTACTGGAAGAAACATTGCACAAGTTCGAAACGTCGACTGAAGGAAGGTTCGTCATTGTACCGAGGTAGGTTCTTGCATTTGGCTGGGCATATACGTAGCGTATTGACCCTGCAAGTTCGACAAAGGCCCAAAACTTGGCGCCCCACCGATTACGACCTTATTTCGAATTAACTAATAAAACGAAGGAATTTTACAAGGTAGTCGATCATTAATATTAAGTAGAAAATCCTGCGTTTCTGGTGCTTTAGTACCTTATACACCTTTTTACGGATATTTATTAATTCGCTATTATAGTACTATAGTCTATAGATATAAATATCTAATAAACATCTCGGCCTAAGCCTAGGCCTAAGGCAAAGTAATCTAGCGCCCGAAAATATACTCGTTTAGCGCTTATACGACGCGTTAAACGAAGCTATTCTTATCGTCGCCGTATAACTATATTAGAATTCGTCGAGTAATATCTTATACTTAATACTAATACCCCTATTATATGTAATAAACCCCCGCGTTATTTACGTAAGCGTAAGGGCGAGCTAGACGTTGAGATAGCTCTAGGATACCGAAAACTAACCTACTATAAGGCGAGTATCTTCTTTAAGATACCGAGGTCGATTATCTAGAGTTAGTGGTGTATAAGGGATATTATTATAGGTAGTAGAAGCGGCCTCCACGTATCGTATAATCCCGAATACCCTAAAATAGAGCTTAAGTTATATAATATCTTTATATAATAGCGTCGTGATCGTCGCTTAGTTAGTGCTGGCTAGCTACGTATCTAGGCTTAACGGCTTTTTAAGGAACTATATCCAGACTACCCTTATAATATCTTCGTTTTCTTATTTTCGTGGCTCTGTGGCTTCTTCCGCCGCTTTAATAGCATATGTTAACGTATTACTAAGTAAGTAATAAAGTCTCTTATGGATCTAGTTCTAGCTATTACTAGCTTTTTAAGGTTTATTAGGCGTAACTCCGCTATCCCCCTTTTTCCTACTCTAGATATTACTAGCCCGAGGCCTATTATACTAATAAGAACCTGATCGAACGACTTTTAGGCTTTTATAGTGTCTCCTTATACTAGAAGGACCTTATTAGTTCTTCTAGATCGTTGCTTTACTAATAATGGTATTATTAATATAGATAAAACGCCTATTATATTCGAGTATCTTAATAGTTATATGTATAATATTAACAGAAGTAAGACTATTAGTGCTAAAATAGAGCGGAGTGGTTAGAATTAACGATAGGCTAGTTTTATACTATTTATCTTCGTGGATAGAGTTTAACGTATTAAGCCTAAGGTAATATTCTATAATAAACTAGATAGTACTATTAAAAAGAAAGAAGAATATCTATATTACCCTAGCGTTATAGTGGAATTTAATAACACCGATTATAATAACGAGGTTCTTTTCGCTTAGTTAATTAACAAGGAACTAGTCCGTATTCTAAATGATAAGGAGGGGATACTAGTTATAGATATCGCGGCTTTTTATAAAACCTCTGCTATTAAATAAACGTTAAAACAGGGTAAAATACTACCTCCTATAGTGCTTATAGATTATACTTCTTACGTTTAACTACTAGATACGTATATTAACGGTTTACTAAACAATGGTTCTTCGTGATACTATAGACTCTTTAAGTAATTAACGAGATTAAGAGGGGGATAGGGCTTAGACCCTATCTGAACGTAGGGTATTTACTATATATATAGTAGACTACGCGATATATATTCTTTATAACGAAAAGAAGGATATACTTAAGTAGTTATTTACGGAGTATAGTATATCTATTAATCCTAACGGTAGCGAAGATTACGGTATACAAATTAAGGAAATAAACCTCTCGGATATCAACTTAGATAGGGTTAAAGTAGATATAATAAAGCAGGAATATATATATAAGATGCCTCGGTATATTAATAGCCTTACTAATAAGGTTATTATACCTGTAGAAGTATTAGGATTACCTTAAAACACCTATGGATCCATAAACATTAAGACACTATAAGGTTTTTTAAGGATAAGGTGTATTAAGATCTTAGGGAAGAAGGTAGATCTAGTAGTATATTTAGAGGTATAGGACGAATAGTAACGTTTGTTAGATAAAGCGTAGTCGAAATCGTCACAAAATAGGTTAAAATTGATTGAGGCTATTATATATAATTATGACTGTGTGAGGACCGTTAGGGAATCGCTGCCACCGTATTTTGTATAGTGCAGATTCTATAAGCATTTACCCGGATTATACTCTTAGTAATCCGGCCTATAACGTAACTGAAAAGACTATAGTCTATTCGATATACCCCCTAATCGCCCTAAACGTCAGTTAGGCGAGTAAAGCTATTCATAACCAGCAGATATAACAGGTATATAACCTATATAATCTCTCCGTTATAGCCGCCCTTAAATTTATTCTCTAGGTCCTCTAAATACTCTATCCGGACTTCCTCTAGGTATTTTTGCTATAGCCGTTCCTGTATATCTAGTACGCCTACCTAGGACCTAAATATCTTAAATTTCTCGCTATATAACGCCTTTATTAATCTATCTACCACTATTTCCGCGCTCGTAATATACGTTACGAGTATTTACCCTTATTTCTTTACTTAACGTAACTCATAGCTATAGATATTAACGTGGCGGAGGCGCGTTATTAACGTGCTAATCTCTTAATTAACTAATCGAATCGTTTAGTTATTATCGTATAAAATCCTTAATTCCGGATTATTAAATTCCACTCCTATACTAAGTAATAGGCGTTATATAAAGGTACCCTCTTTTACACCTTATACTAACGCTAATAGCTCTGCTTCCGTTATTAACGTCGTGACCGTATCCTGCTTATTAGCGCGCTACGCGATTATACCGCTAAATAAGCGTATCATGTACGCTTAACTACTCTTTCGATTAAGGGTATTATTGGTAAACGAGGCGTTAGTGTAGATTTTAATAGTATCGCCACCCCCTAGTTCTAACGTAAACGATTAGCTATTAATTAGATAAAGGATTAGATAATCGGCGGCCTTATGGTGAATAGGCCCTGGATTAACGTTATATCGGTATAGCCTAGATACTATAAACGCGATATTAGGCCGCGATATCACTACTATATATAGTATAGATCCTATCTTCCGTTAATAGCTTTTAACGTTAATCGAGGTCCCTAAATAGGGCAGTAGCTCTATAACCTTAATTAGGTGCGTTAGGTAATAGTTACTGCTATGCTTACTATTCGGCTTTAATAGGCGTTCTAACTTAGTAAGGTAGTCGTGTTATAATTATTAGATTTTACGGGTAACGCGGTCGCGAATAACCTTAATACTAAGGAACCACTATAGAGGATCGCCACCTTATAGGTTATAATGGCGTTATAGGTTATTAACGGCCTGCTTTATCTACGCCTTATATTATTCCTTATAAGTAATAACGATATTATTAACGTAGAAGAATGGGATTAAACCGCGGCGCAGAAAATAACACGGTCCTTATAGTACTATCTAGAAGCTATCCGCTAAAAGAAAAGGCGAAAAGTGCTTTTACTAAAGCAGTAAAGACTCCTTAAGTCTATATAACGCCTTGTTCAGATATAAACGACTTCTAGGGGCTGGAAAGCCTAGCGGCGGGTATATATAGATATTATAGGGGAGGGGCGCGTGTATAAACGCGTTTATAATATTAAACTATAATAGCGTAAGGTTAAATCGGGCGGTAATAGCTATTAACGCGCGGAATAACCGTCCGGCTAGCGTTACTACGTATATCTCTTTAAGTAAGGATTAATACTACTAATCTCCTTATACCACAAGCCTTACCTTATATTTATATAGAAATCTATGCTTATCGAACTTATATATCATTACCTATATCGAATTAAGAACCTGATATCTATCTACTACAGATACCGGTACCCGTATCCACGACCCTATCTCTTTATGACTCCGTAGGTGGTCTTCTTACACCTATCGGAATAAATGGCCGTAAGGGTGCGAGGGTATATCGCGAGGGTTCTTCGGAGAAGGAGGGAGGTCTTTACGGTAGATCTTTACGGCCGCCGGGGTAACCGCCGGAGTAACCGCCGGAGTTATATTTCCCGATAGAGTCTCCCGGGTTATGCTTCTGGTAGCTGCTGCCGGGGCCGTGGATTCGTAGGGTGTTATTGAACGCCGCTATAATACTATAGGCGTAGACCTTTTTAACCGTAATTTATTTAGCAGAGTCCTATTCAATATATATATATTAGGGGCGTGGCGGTTAGCGTTAAACGCAGTAACCTAATAGTCTGTTTTCTAGCTATCTCCTTACCTAATTAGTCGCGCTCCCTTATCTATAAGGAGCCCTATAGCTATAATTATAGGGGTATTATAGCACCGTATTCCTTTATCTATAAGGAACCCTGCGGCTATAACCGTCGAGGATTCACGATTTCCTAATATCACGGGTACTATTAGCGCTATAACCGATAGTAGAGTTACTAGTAGAGTAGGAAGTAATAGATCGGGCGGATATAGACGGTGATTAGGCGCTATACCGGCTAAATTATACTATTTACAACCTAAAACTTATCCTGATTAAGTCGAGATAGCCTCCTCTACCCCCTCACGGCTAAGTATTACGGATTATAACCTTAACGGTAAAGCCGTCGAGGAAGGGGATCCGGGGGGAAGCTCCCCTGATAAAGGGTTAAAATTAAAATAAGCAGTTATATAAGGCGGAGGGGGGTCCTTAGCTTATACGTCCGTAAATGGCTATAAATCTCTAGCCCTCTCCTACTCGATCTAACTAATCAGGTCTTCTAGTTACCCCTCGGTTAATTAACGGAGGTTATCCTTAAAGGTGGCGATATCGCCGTT